GGCCGCGCTGCGGGCGGCCCCGGCGATGCTGAACCGCGGGGCGTGTCGCCCCTCTTCTCTTGCAGAGCTGTTGCGCAGCCATTGGTACCTGTATTGGGGAAACATAGCGTACAAGCAAGGAGCTTACAGCCTCAGCGGCGAAAATTTTTTCATGTCAGAGACCGAGAACTCTTGCAGTCGTTTATGTCATCCCTTCTTCTCCAGACAGAAGATACCAAAAAGTTGCAATCAAAGATCTCTTCATCTTATTGATAAAGCCACTAATAAGCCAAAATGTCTGTCAACGTCAACCGCAGCGTGTCAGACCAGTTCTATCGCTACAAGATGCCCCGTCTGATTGCCAAGGTAGTACTGGTCGCCATGGTGGCAGGGAGGCAGCCGCAGCTCTCCATGGGGTTTCAGGGAAGACAGCCCAAAACTGAAATTCTTATTTCCTCTAGGTTGAGGGCAAAGGAAATGGAATCAAGACAGTTATAGTCAACATGGTTGACGTTGCAAAGGCGCTTAATCGGCCTCCAACGTGTAAGTAAAGCTTTTTCCCCCTGTACACTAGGGGGTCTAGGTCAGTCTTTGAATTGTAAAACTTCCTGAGTTATATGCTAATTAGGTTAAGGGTTAATTGTGGAGCCTCGGACTTTTAAGGGTTGCCATAAGTTCACTGCCTAGCCAACATTTCATGAACCCACATCATTTTAAAACAGTGGTGGTTCTTGAATAAAGGTGAATAAGCAGCTAGAGATTGGTTTATTTAGTTCCTTAATATAATCAAGTCTTTCTTTTCTTAACATAGATCCCACCAAATATTTTGGTTGTGAGCTGGGAGCACAGACCCAGTTTGATGTTAAGAATGACCGTTACATTGTCAATGGATCTCATGAGGCGAATAAGCTGCAAGACATGTTGGATGGATTCATTAAAAAATTTGTTCTCTGTCCTGAGTGTGAGAATCCTGAAACGGAACTGGTGAGTGCCATTGAGGGTTTTGTCCAAAAAAAAGGTGGGGTTAGGGAGTGGTGAGACAATACCTGCTTTTGTGATCAGATCTGTATTAAAGCTAAAACACGTTCCTGAGAAGACACAGAAGACTTAATTGTAAGTAAAACACCTCACATTTGAGTTTTTTTTTTAATACTTTCAAGTAGGTCACCTTAAAAAAAATAATGTACGTAAAGGTAGTGTTTTAGATGTCTAGTTATTTTCACACTTTGTTCCAAAAATTCACTTAGAATTTTCATCTTACATTATGGGTAACATACCTATTTTTATTATTTTGGCAGCATGTCAATCCAAAGAAGCAAACAATAGGTAATTCTTGTAAAGCCTGTGGCTACCGAGGCATGCTTGACACACATCATAAACTCTGCACATTTATTCTCAAAAACCCACCTGGTAAGTCTTCATGATGAGCTTAAAGCAATGATCATTGGTAACAAAAGTGGAAGGTATTTGTTGTTATAAAGCCAGAGTATAAGGAGTTTTTAGTCCTTGGGTTGCATTTTATTGACTGAGTCTTCCTTGGACATTGTACTGTTGTTTTTACACTATTAAAGGTGAGAAGAATCTGCCACCAGTTTTTAAGACACATTAGAATGGAAAACAGTTTAAGTTGTAAAACAGTATGATGGGGTTGCATCATCTACTTTGGTACTGTTTGTAAATGGGGCTTCTTTGTTAGGCTTAAATGACCTTAGAACTTTGCAAGCAACACTCTGTGGCAGATTATTGAAACTGTCTGACACAATTTGAGCTTGCTATAGCAAGAAAGTCTAACCTATTCCGGTGTTCTCTTTTCTGTGAGACAAGCCGTTATATGGGCTTAAACAGTGTTCTGAAAAGAGTTGGGTAAAAGCCAGATTGTGATAGGCCTTGTTCAAGTTGGTTAGGCCCAACATTTTATTTATTTATTGGTGCTGGGATTGAATTCAGGTGACGAGGGCTTGCTGAATTGCTGAGGCTGGCCTTGAATTTGTGATCCTGCTACCTCTGCTTTCCACATTGATTATAGGCATGTATCATCATGCTGGGCAGAAGTAAACTTTTATTTCCTTCATTTTTCCTTGCTGGAATTGCGTGTGTGTGCCATTGCACCTAGTAGGAGGTCCAACTTTTGACTAATCTGGTCATCGAGGTGTTAGACATCACTGTAATCTTGGTCTTACTGTAATATGCCTAATATTTTATGTATCTCCATTCATTGTGAGAGTTTGTTACCTATGAAATATAGTAGATGGAAAGCCCTTAAAAATTACAGTGGTGTCTTGTGATATTTTCCGAGATCAATAGGGGGGCATGGTGTTTAAGTGTTCTGATGAGCAGTAAGGTGATATGAACTGTAGGAATGTACCTCCCCCCCAAATACTGAGGATTAAACTTGGGACACTTTACCACTGAGCTACGCCCTCAGCCCTTTTTACTTTTTACATAATATTTTTTGAGAGGGTTAGTGTCCTGATTTGCTGAGATTATAGGCATGTATCACCATGCCTGGCAGAACTAAACTTTTATTTCCTTCATTTTTCCTTATAGAGAATAGTGACAGTGGTACAGGAAAGAAAGAAAAGGAAAAGAAAAATAGAAAGGGCAAAGACAAGGAAAATGGTTCTGTATCCAGCAGTGAGACACCACCACCACCACCACCAAATGAAATCAGTCCTCCTCCACATGCTGTGGTGAGTGTAGGCTTGAGAGCCTAGTGGGCACTCAGTTGTATAAAGTAGCTGGCACTTTGTTGAAGTGGGAAGAAATGATGAAACTAGCCTTCAGTTAAATATTAGAACAGTATTTTGGATTCCAAGTGTTGCCAGTTGCTTGAGTTTTGATGGGAAAATAATCTTTGTTAATCTGAAGTATTTTTTATATTTTAAAAAAGTGTGCATTTCGGTTTTGTAAACAGGAAGAAGAGGAGGATGATGATTGGGGAGAGGATACAACTGAGGAAGCTCAGAGGCGTAGAATGGATGAAATTAGTGACCACGCAAAAGTTCTGACACTCAGTGATGATTTGGAAAGAACTGTAGAAGAGCGTGTCAATATCCTGTTTGATTTTGTTAAGGTAAAACATTTGCTTGATCTACCGTTGAGCTTCAGCCCAGCTTTTGTGCTTTCTAGATATTTCTTACTTTTTTTAGTTGTTGATGGATCTGTTTTTATTTATATATATATGCAGCACTGAGAATTGAACCTAAGTGCCTTACTCAGGCTACGCAAGCTCTCTATCACTGAGCCACAACCCCAGCCCAATAATTGAAAAGTAACTTCTGTTACTTTCAAATACTCTTATTTTCACATTTCTTTTTCTTCATCCAAGAAAAGTTTTTGGAAGGTCATTAAGAGTTGTCACTTGCAATTTTGTATCATTTAGAAATGCAAATTGGGTAGAAGAAATAAGGAGACTAACATGATAGCTTTTTTTTTTTTTAAGTAGTTGAACACAGTACCTTATTTTATTTATTTTTATGTGGTGCTGAAGATTGAACCCAGAGCTTCACATGAGCTAGATAAGCACTCTGCTCCTGAGCCACAACCCCAGCCTCCAGCCTGATATCTTTTATTTATTTATATTCCGTTGGGCACAATACCTTTATTTATTTTTGAGAGTGAGGGGGGGGACAGAGAGAGAATTTTTTAATATTTATTTATTTTTTCTTAGTTCTACGCAGACACAACATCTTCGTTTGTATGTGGTGCTGAGGATTGAACCCGGGTCGCACGCACGCTAGGCGAGCGCGCTACCGCTTGAGCCACATCCCCAGCCCTCAATACCCTTATTTATATTCATGTGGTGCTGAGGCTCTAACTCAGAGCCTCAAAGGTGCTAGGCAAGTGGTCTACCACTGAGCAAAAACCCCAGTCCCTTAATGGTATCTTGAGCCTAGTGAAAACATGCCAACATTTCACTTAATTGTTTTCTTTTTATTTGCAGAAAAAGAAAGAAGAGGGTATCATTGACTCATCAGACAAAGAAATTGTCGCAGAAGCAGAAAGGCTGGATGTAAAAGCCATGGGCCCTCTTGTTCTAACTGAAGTTCTTTTTAATGAGAAAATTAGAGAACAGATTAAGAAATACAGGCGCCATTTCTTAAGAGTAAGCAAATTGTTTTAGACTTCTGAGATTATGCTGTGTGTCCTTGGTACTGTTTTTAATCACTTTTGTTCATTTTTTGTCATCCTGAAAGAGGAGGTAATTTTTATAATCCTTTGAGCATCTGCAAATGTGTACTTGACCTTTGATGTAGAGAGTAAGTAATGTAGGGATATTTTGTGTTTTGACTTTTTTGACTCACTATGAGCCATACTTTTAAAAAAAGCAGTCTTAAGGAAATGAATATATTTGGGTATTAGAATTGTCAAGTTACACCATGTAAAAAAAAGTTTAATGCCAAGTATCTGTTTGCAGTTTTGTCACAATAACAAAAAAGCTCAACGATACCTTCTTCATGGTTTGGAGTGTGTGGTGGCAATGCATCAAGCTCAGCTCCTCTCTAAGATTCCACATATCTTGAAGGAAATGTATGACGCAGATCTTTTAGAAGAGGAGGTCATCATCAGCTGGTCGGAAAAGGTGGGGAATGTAAAAGTGGACTCTTCCAGTTCAAAACTATTGAAAAAGATCACTGTGGTTCTTTTGTCCGAGTTAATAATTACTACATAATCTGTCTGCATTAAAGTATAATCCCCTGTGCTTATCTGATGTAACTTGTGATTTCCATAATGTCATCTTGACGATTGCAACAGCAGAAATTGCTTAGACTTTGTGCGTTTGCCAGATACATAATGCACATTCCATGGAGGATTCAAAATTGTATCATGATGCCAGGTAAAATAGCCTGGAATCTCTAGTAACCTGGGATGCTAAAGCAGGAGAATAGCAAATCTGAGGTCAATCTCAGCAATTTAGCAAAAACTTGTCTTAATAAATATGGCTGGGAATGTAGCTCAGTAGTAAAAAGTCTTTCCTAAGAAAATTGTACTGGACTTTTTTTAGGCCTCTAAGAAATATGTATCAAAAGAACTTGCCAAAGAGATTCGTGTCAAAGCAGAACCATTTATAAAGTGGTTGAAGGAAGCAGAGGAAGAATCTTCTGGTGGTGAAGAAGAAGATGAAGATGAGAACATTGAGGTAAATGCTGGGGAAGTTGGTTAGTGCAGTGTTGATGGTGCGTGTCAGAGTGGTGGTAAAAATTAGGGGTGATTCCAAATTTAAGATTAAAGATGAGATAAAATACAACCTTTCAATAGGAAGAGTGATGGGTAGCGTGTTAGGTAACTTGGGTTTTATATGATAAAACTCTAGGAAGACTGATAGCTACATTGAAGCAGTTCTCCTTTGTTACCACTTGATTTATATTTTAATGGTAAATTTATTGGGGCAAGGTATGTAATTGGTAAAATCATTTATTTTATCAGGTGGTGTACTCAAAGACTGCCAGTGTACCGAAAGTTGAAACTGTGAAGTCTGACAACAAGGATGATGACATTGATATTGACGCCATTTAAAAGAATGGATGCAACCTAGCTTAACAGTGTAATGCTGCAAATTTTTCTCCATAATCAGCCAGAAGTGCAACATGTATGTGTAAAAGCTAAAATGGCTTAACATCATGCTACACTTTAATACTAAAAATCTATTACTGTGAGTGGTCTGTAATTAGCCCAATGAGACATCTAGGAAGTCCATACACACATCAGTGAGCAGATGTAGTTTGCTTATTTATAGCATGTTTCTTTTGGAAAAACTAGTGGTGGACACATTTGGATCACATTTATACAGTTATAAAAATAAAGATTTGATTTTGGTCATTCTGATTTTGGGCTCTGAATGACTTAGCTAAAGTAATTGGCTCCTTTTAAAAAGTGATGCCATCATTTAACCTGACATGGTCCTTGGAGCCTGGTAGATTTTGTTAGGTGCTGAGACCATTCAAGGGTTTTCAGCAGAATGTAAACAAACTTGTTTGTAATGATCTTACTGAGCTGTTAAATCTAGTACTTTTCAATTTTTTTAGTCCCTCAAATTGGCATCTGGTAATTTTTTTGTGCTGAGGTAGACTGATAATCAAATGACAGTGCAACATCTTGTTGAGAAATAAAAATAACCTGAGTGTCCTATAAACAATTTTAAGAACTAGTTTTGAAGTTGTGATTTTTCAGTTCATGTACACTAGCCCCAAATTTTAGTCTTTGGAGTCATGTGCATTGCACGTTGGATGAGCCAGGGAAAAATTATTACATTAACAAATAAGTATTTTAATGTGTATGTAGTGGTTGCTTTGTACCAAGAGAAAACTCAAACTTTGAGGTGTGATTAAATAATAAATTCTGATTTTATTTGGGGGAAACAGGGAAAGGTGCATTTAATCTCTAGCAAGAACTGAGCAGTTTTTCAGCTTTTACCCTTAAGGTTTAAATTATAATTTCAAAATGTTGAGACATTTTATCTTGTGTTTAGTATGTCGTGCGCCCCCCCCCACCCCCCCAAAAAAAATATCGTGGTTTATTCAATGCCTTTTACATTTGGACACGTAGCTTATGCAGTTTTAGATTTTGGTTATTGCCTTGCCAAAATAAGTGTTGCTATATTTCAAACTGGATTTTTTTTTTCCCCAAAAAAGTCTTATTTAAAAAAGAAACTAAGTTAAAGGCATATTTCTAAGTCAGAGCCTATATTTTGGTGTAAGACTTGGGAGGGATATTTTTTACTTCACATTGAATATAGCTGGGCTCCCAAGAAATTTGGATGATGGCCATTGGGTGTAGGTGATGAGTCTGACAGCCCATCCAGGGCCTTGGATTTGGACTGACACAGGTGAATTTCTTATGCAGTTAGCTGATGAAAACTTTTGATTGGGGTTCTGACTTTGCGTTTATAAAAACTTTGCATTTATTCCTTTCCACAAAAAGTGCATTCCAGGCATTGCAAAGTCCATATGATTAATTTTGTGTGGAGCACTGGCTCACATTATTCAGCTCTTGTTTGTGACCCATCTCACAGATTATGAGACTTTAATGACATGTATATAAAAGTTTTTCACATTGAAAGTATACAAATATTTGAAAATAAAACCTTGTTAGCTTGACAATTTTCAGAAATAAAAACCTAACAATCTTAACATGGACAGAACATAGATCTCCCTCTGCCTTTTGATAGATTCTAGTGAGTGAAGAGCAGGAGCTATATACCTGAAGGGAACATGCTGTGTCACACCAAAGGGGACTTTTGCAAACTCCTGTAACCTAGGTCAGATTCTTTGGGCAAGGCCCATTTGCCATCATTAACTAGATTCTATCAGAGGTGCTGGTGACCCATGTAGAGTGTACTTACTACACGTGTCAAGCTGATGAAGTGGTTGTTGTAGAGCTGTGTGGCTTTTACTCTAAGGGAAATGTGTCAGGGCTTCTCAACACTAAGGGAGAGGGTTAGGGCTTAGACCAGTGTTAAGTCTGGTGCCAAACTTTAGTGGAATTCAAATTCACATGATCTGGATTTAATTCACAGGTTAACCTAATAGAGTAATCCACTTTGCTCTATTGAATTGTCTTAAAATTTCCTGTTTCAAACAGCTGCATTACTTGATTAAAACAATGTTAAAATTCTGTTTTGTCTCTGCTTTAATGTTAAAGTTAACCTAAGTTTTGGGGTTTTTTTTTGTTTTAGGATATTGATGTGCTTCACACATGCTAGGCAAGCATTCTACCACTCAGCTACAACCCCAGCCCAAGTTTTTTAACAAAAACTTATAAAATTATAAGTTCAAAACCTTGAAATTCCTGTAGTAGCTGTAGTTTGTTCTTTCTGTAGGGATCTATATTAGTCCTACACACAAAGTGTTGCAAATTTCATTGGTTATTGATTTGTCTTAAGTTCTAGCTGTAGTAGCATGAGTTGGCTATGAACTGCAAGTTGCCCCCCCGCCCCCCAATGTTTTGTATCGTGTGATGTGGGAGTCAAATCCAGGGCAAACATTCTGTTGCTGAATGTTTAGTCCTTGTCCCCAATGCCAATCCAATAACAAGGACACACTTAGGAGAAAAAGGAAGGTTTATTGCTTGGCTATCAAGGAAAAAACAGGACTCCTGTCCCTTCCAAGGCTATGATTCTGCCCATCTGAACAGGAGGCTTTTATAGAGGTGATTCAGAAAAAAGTGAGATTAGGGAGGAGAGAAGTTAAGGGAAAAGAAAAGGTGTAAGTTTCAAAGCCACAAAGAATAGTCAGAGAATCAAGTGAATCTTTGTCATTAAAATTCTACCAGAATTGAGCTGTGTGGCCCAGTGCCCCCTTTTTTAAATTTTTAAAATTCTATGTCTAATATTACACATATACAGCACAATTTTTCAAATCTATGGTTGTATACAATAAGTATACTCACACCATTCATGTCTTCATACATGTACTTTGGATGATGGTGTCCATCTCCTTCCACCATTTCTAACCCAATGCCCTCTCCCACCCCTTTGCCCTATCTGTAGAGTTCATCTCTTCCTTCCATGTTTCCCCTCTCTACCCCATTATGAATTAGCTTCCTTATATCAAACATTGGGCATTTGGTTTTTTGGGATTGACTGACTTAGCATTGTCTCCTCCAACTCCATTTACCAGCAAATGTCATGATTCTATTCTTTTTCATTGCTATGTAATATTTCATTGTGTACGTATACCACATTCGTTTAATCCATTAATTTACAGGACACCTTGGTTCCACAATTTAGTTATCGTGAATTGTGCAGCTATAAACATTGATGTGCCCAGCCCCCTTTTTTATTTTGAGTCTTGCTAAATTGCCCAGGAATGTTTATTGTTAGGGGTGGTGAATTAGGCATTTAATCCCAGGGTGCTTTCCTCTGAGCTACATCCCCAGCCCTGTTTTGTTTTGTGTCAGGGTCTCCTTAAGTTTCTGAGGCTGGCTTTGGAATTTGGATCGTCTTGACTTGGCCTCTCCCGTGTCTGGAATTAACAGGCATGTGCCATACCTGGTGCTTTCTAGGGAATTCAGATTCCTAATACCTATATAACTGGGACACAGCATGAATCTCCAAGAATGAAGGGATGGGGAATGACTGCTTTTCAAACAGGACCTTCTGAAGTTGATAAACTTGAGAATGGGTGGGAAGGTGTTTCCTTATCCAGTGCTTCCTCTTAGGGGATATGGAGATTGGGCCTTGAGCTGCTGCTAGTCTTGATTCCTGCATCCGGTCACACCTAGTGCCGAGTTGTGTTTATTTGGTACTGGGGACTAAGCCTAGGATGTTTAATCACTGAGCTACACCCCAGCCCTTTAGTCTCACTAAACTGCTTCTCCAACTTGTGATCCTCCTGTCTCGGCCTCCTGAGTCACTGGAATTACAGAGGCTTATGCCACTGCACCCAAATGAGATGAGGTTTGAAACCAAATAAATTTGTTCTGCGTGCAATTTACTTACGACTTTTTTTTTTTAACAAAGCAAACCATATTGAGATTACGAGGATGTTGCTCAGTGGTTGAGTACCTCTGAAGTCAGTCCCCAGTATACTCCACCCCTACACACACACACACACAAAAAAAAAATTTTGCTGACAGCTTTGCAGATAATCCTTGCTTATCAAGTTCTACCTGTTTAATATTCTATAGTGGGGCTGGGGATGTGGCTCAAGCAGTAGCGTGCTCACCTGGCATGCATGCGGCCTGGGTTCGATCCTCAGCACCACATACAAAGATGTTGTCTGCCGAAAACTAAAAAATAAATATTAAAATTCTCTCTCTCTCTCTCTCTCTCCCCCCCCCACACTCTCTTAAAAAAATATTAATATTCTGTTGTAACCCCAAAATGCAAAGTTGGCCTGTCTATTGTCTTGACAATTCTTAAATTCCCACTAGTGTAGTGGTATGTAGCCTGTAGTCTCAGCTATTGAGGAGTCAGGCAGGATTGCAAGTTTTTGAGACCAACCTGGGCAATTTAGCAAGACCTTGTCTTGAAAAAGGACTGGGAATGTAGATAAAGGCAGGATGTAGATTCAGTGTAGATCAATGGTAGAGCACTTGCCATGTCCCAGCTTCTAGGATTGTTCAATCCCCGGCACCATGAAAATTATAGCCTTTCTCCCTGCTCCAAAGTTCCCAAGAAGTTTTCAGTACCAAGAATAGTACTGCAACTTTTGAGACCAGCTTGGGCAATTTAGCAAGACCCTGTCTCAAAAATTAAAAAGGACTGGGAATGTAGCTCAATGGTAGTACAGTCTTGTTAATTTCCAGTACTTTGTAGAGCTTGATTTTTAAAAAAGAGACTATAGAGTGACATGGGTAAATTACTTGCCAAAAGTAACACGCTGCCTTGTGTGCGTGAGTCCCACCCTGAGTCATTGTTAACAGGTTGGAAGCTTGAGGTTTATATCCACCTGCAACAGGGTCCTGACCCAGCTGAGGGCCTTTGGGGAGCTAAAACTCCATGAATCATGGTGAAAAAATTGAACACCAAAGCATGTGCTGTGATGTGGGCATGATTACTATAGAGGAATTATTCTGATGAAGAGTGAAGAGCCCAGCTTTGGCCATGGGCTCCCCACTGGGATGTACCACAGGTATTTTGTCACAGCAATGGAAAACTGACTTAATTTCTGAAAAATGAAAGCAATTCCCATGTCTGAGATGGGAATGTGGCTTGGGGAAGATGACAGGTCCTCATAGGCAAGAAAGAATTTGTATCCCCCTGGAGATGAAATTGCTATGGGAACAAGAACAGGGGTGCTGTGTGACTGACCCAGTAGCAGCCACGGAGAGAGAGAGGACAGATGAATGTGTACTTGAGCCTGGACAGGTTGGGTCCTAGGCAGCCATGTCTATCCAAGGCAGTGTCAGGATGGAGAGGTGAACAGGTTCAACCCCTGTCCCACAGGCATAACATTTCCAAACTCCCAGAGCAATAGACCTTCTGTTTCTGGGGACAGGGTCTCCTATTGAGAACCTGCCTAGAGACTAGCAACCAGGAGGGGTCCCCAGAAGTTCACAGTCTTAAGTAGCCACAGGATTTTTTTGTTGTCTCCAGGTTGGGACAACCTAACAAAGTTGCAGGTTTGGAGTCCTCAGATTTGGTCCTCTGTTATACAAGTCCTTTTGATGATAGTGCAAAGTAATCCTGAATTGCTAAGTAATTTGGGAGAAGGGAACAGCTTTCCAAAGATTCACTCGATAATGGGATCATTGAGGAACCTCACTGCACAAATCTGGCCAGAGACACCAGCAGGTCCAGCCTTGTGGATGTGTACTGTGGTTTCAATTCCAAAGCGCTTTGGAAAAGGTGAAACTTGAAGATAGTGAAAAGATCAGGGGTGAACAAGTGGAACACATATTTTGAAGGCAATAGCACTTCTCCATGAGATACCATAATGGACATGTCAAGAGTGACTGATGTACACCATAGACTAAAAGGATGAGATATAGTAACCAGACAAAATACTTTGAAAAATGAGCTGGGTGTGGTGGCTCATGCCTATAATCCCAGCAACTTGGTTGGCTGAAGCAGGAGGATCACAAGTTCAAAGCCAGCTTCAGCGATTTAGCAAGGCCCTGGGCAACTTGGTGAGACCCTTTCTCAAAAAGTGAAAAGGGCTGGGGATGTGGCTCAGTGGTTAAGTGCCCATAATGGAGTGAATCTGTGAGAGAATAAACTTGCTTTTTTTATGAGATCATGTCTCACTGTGTTGCACCTGCCTTTGTAAACTTGGATTTTTAGGTGTAGCAATATACTATTTATAAAAGCATTACTTGATAAAGTTTGAAAGTAAAAGGATTAGAAAATGCTTACTATATAGTAGAAATGTACAAACTGAATCTCAGAAAAAAGTAGATTTTAATGAAAAGAAATTAGGAAGAAAGAGGATCCTTATGAAGTGATTAAAGACACAATACATCAAGAATGGCAGTTCCAGCTAGGTATAGCTCAGTGGTGGAGTGCACACTTAGTGTGTACAAGGCCCTGGACTCAATCCCCATCTCTATGAAAAGAAAAAGAATGGCAGTACTGTCCTATGATGCACCTGATGACATACCTTCAAAATGTAAAGCAAAAGTACATGGAAGCACCACAGTAAAATAACACACCCATCAGAAGAGCTAAGCTCTAAAGTCTGACAACGTCTGACAGCTTCTCACAAAAAGGGAACACCTGCTTCATGAACCAGTGATCCCACTCCTAGAGAATTCCACAACCAAGAAAAATGAAAACATATGTTCATGGAAACATTGTATGGGAATGGTCAGTCAGATCAGCCTTTTTTATAGTATCCCAAACCTTGAACATCCAAGACCCATCACCAGGAAAGTGGATAAACAAACTATATCACATTGATAAATTGGGATATTGCCAATAAAAAGAAATGGACTACAGATGATCACACAAATACATGAATCACAAAAATGGACCTTTCCAAAAATACATAGGATCCCATGTATGTGACGTGCTAGAACAGCCTACACTAATCTGTGATGAAAAAAGATTGCTTCTACAGATGAATGGGGTGAGGGTTAATGGACAGGGCAGGGAAAAATCCCATGGTGACAGCAGTATTCTCTATATTGATAGGAGGAGTTGGAGTTACATAAGAGTGTGTGCTTGCTTGTCA